AACTGTTATTCGTTTCTTCTAAATACTACTGTATGCTACATTCTAAAAAATTCTAATATAGAAAGTAAGGGGAGAAAGAATTCCATACCATTTTTCCATTTCCCATTCAAGCTCATGTGACAATCAATTAAGAAACTGGTGGCAAATATTGCAACCATTAGGGAAATTTATTGGAGATAGGATGGTTAATAGATGGAGTGTACAGAAACCAGTTTCACTTCTGAGAAAAGGAAAGCTTAATTCCTACAAAAGGCAAAAGAATATGCTTCCTTCACACCCACTCTTCCAGCCCCCATGTTGAAATGGTTGAACAATCAAATTATCTGATCCAATCTAGAACCAAAACAACAACAATAAACATAAAACAGCATTGGGTTAAACTATGAAACTACTTTTAACATCTACCAGTTGCAGCAAATGCTCATTTCTTGAAGGAAAAAGTCAAGACAGAAACAACAGATGTCTTTATTCAGTCTATTGCATATACAATTTACTCAGCAGTCTGGCTTTTCCTCTTATCTGAAATGTCTAATGTCAGAGTCATTAGCATTTAAAACCACTACATAAACCAAGTTCATTTTAGGTAAGCATCCTGTGTAGTTCAGGGAACATAATGGCACATTACTTGGGCAAAGGCTTTTAAGTTACATAGCAAAAGCTATTCTCAGTTTAAAGAGTGTAACTTCTTAATTACTACAGTAACATAAGGTGAACTACACTTGCAAACAAATATAGTTGGATTGTCTTTTTTATTTCTTGCTTCCAGACATGCAACTATAGAACAGAGTGCTGAAACATATTTTCCACTCTCCATTCCGATATCACAAATGAAGCAGTTTTGCGCTGAAAAAATAGACTGAAGATATAGTTCCTTTAATCAAATGCCTAGAATAAAAACATCTACACACCAGCACATCTCTAGTCACTCACTGCCATAAGAGATACACAGCAAGAGGCCAAAGTACAATACTCTACTCAAGTGGCCCCAAACTACAAACAGTAAAGAGAGGTCACATGTATTTTACAGAAGACAGATCCCGATGCAGCCATTCACAAAAAGGCCCTTTCATCAATTAGCCTTCAGGCTTGCTGATTAGCTGGCAAACTTCTCTGAAAGGGTCAGTTTGTACTAAACTGGTATTTCCACTCTTGAAACTGCTCAAGCATGTCATATACCTGCATCCACAGAACAGAGCTCTTTCAGTGCTTTGCCTGAGTTAATTGTTAATGCTGGAGACTGGATCGTCCAGAGGTTTCAGTGTCAACTGCAATGGCTTGTAATAAAACGTCTGCATCCATAAAATATATTTTATACAATGCAGTAAGTATCCCAGAGTGCTATACCTATATCAATATCTGACAACACATCATCCAAATCAAACTATTTAAAACTGGTGTTTTAAAAAGAAGCGTGAGCCACTTTAACAACACAAGAAGTGTGCACCTGCTAAATCAACTCTTGGGAAGTCTTCTGACAAGTTACACACCTGTGATTAGAGGTGGAATGAGCCCATTTCCTGTATACATTGGTTTAAGTAATCTTAACTACATCAAGGCTATGGACACTTACATTTTTTAAAAAAGAAACCACCTTTTTTTTACTCATTATTTTCTCAAAGAAAGGCACAATCACTTTTCTAGAGCTGCCACGGTTCATATGAGATTTAAGAAGGCACAAGTTTGATCCTTCCTACTGAGGACCGGCAACGTCCCTTACCTCCAACATTTGTTGGGTGGGAGATGAATCTGTGATGTTTTACCCTTTCCTGGAATCCCCCTAAAGCCGATGGCTAAAAGTTAGTAACCCGGCAAGCACTGTCCCAAGTGGCAGCAGAGAAACCAGTTAAGTTTCTAAGCTGACCTTAAGGTAGGGAGCGTCAGGCCTAGGCAGCAGCTCTTGGGCGTCTCAACTCAACGCGGGGGCGCCTGAAGGGGCCTTCAACATGCCCCAGCCATTCCAAGCTGCTGACGAGGGGGGGAAGGTCGAAAAGGAAAAGAGGGAACGTGTGCCTGGAGAAGAGGGGGAGGCAGGAAGGAGAAGGCGTCGGGTTTTCTTTTTGTTACCTGTGCGGGGGAAACCATAGCAGGTGAAAGGACTGTGGGAGACTTGGAGCTTCTGTGCCCGTTAGCTTCGGGGAGGAGGAGAGGCAAGGGGTCATGTTTCACTGAGACCACCACCACGGCGGCAGCGGCGGCGTCGAGCGGCTCGGCGGGCCTCAGGCAGAGTCTTTTGGGGGACGAGGAGGGGCCGCAGGCGTCGCCCCCCGCCCCGCCTGCCCCATTCCCTTACCTTTCACGCAGGAGAGCATCCAGAAAAAGACGAGGTTGGCCAAGGTAAATCCACTTTTAATCCCCATGATCTTGCCCCAGAAGAGAGACCAGTCCGGGCGCTGGCTGCCTTTCCCACATCCCCGTGGTCCCGAGTCTGCGGCACCGGCGGCGGCGGCGGCGGCGGCAGCAGAGCCCGGAGGCAGCTTGGAGCCGATGCCGGCGATGCTGTTGAGGGTGGCGATGGAGACGGCGCCGATGCAGTGGTTGGTGTAGGTCTTGGAGAGTTTGGCCGCCTTGGAGAGCATCTGCATGCGAGTGCCCAGCAGGTTCTTGCCGATGGCCTTGTTCTCGTACCAAGTGACGTCGCCCTCGCTGCAGTGGTCCCGCGGGCGCTGGAAGAAGGCCTTGCAGAGCGGGTTGCGCTTGGCCAAGTACTTGACGAAGCTGGCGTAAGGGCAGAACTCCGTGCCGGTCTCGTACATGCGCGGCAGGTTCTCCTCGTCGCTGCTCTCGGCGCGCTTTTTGCTCCACGAGGAGGAGCGCGACTTGTGGTAGGGCCCCAGGGCCTTGAAGTAGACGAACTTGCGCCCGTCCTCGTCCATGGCCAGTCCGAAGGAGTCCTCCTCCAGCTCGCGCTGGTTCTCCCGGCCCCGCGTGCAGAAGTACATGCACGTCTCGAACCAGACTTTGTTGAGCAGCCCGAAGGGGCTCTGCGTGCTGAACACGCTGCAGGTGTACAGCTTGCGCAGGTCGGCCCGCGTGATGGCCTGCTTCTGCACCACCGGGCCGGCGCCTTGCTCCTCCAGCTTGCGGATGACGGCGGCCAGCGTCAGGTTGGCGGCGCGCAGCTCCGGGTCCTTGGTGAGGTCGAGGGTGCGGCAGTAAGGCGGCTCGTTGAGGTAGCGGTTGAGCGAGCTGCGGATGCTGATGAGCGAGGACTTGGAGTAGAGCTGCCCGCTCTTGGAGCGCGCCTCGGCGTAAAAGGAGCGCAGCACCCGGCACAGCGCCCCCTTGTCCATGGTCTCGAAGTCCGGGCTCTGCGCCTTCTCGCTCAGGTACTCGCGGAAGATGCGCACCGCGTAGCGGGTGGCCAGGCGCGTGTTCTCGCTCAGCCGGGCCCGCTCGGGACGCTGCAGAAGCAACTCCGCCTCGGGGTCCGAGTCCTCGCGCCGCCGACGCCACCACCATGACTGCTGTTGCTGCTGCCCGTCCGGGCTCCCCCGATTCCACCGAGACGGCCCCGGACGCTGGAGACGGCAGCCGCAGCAGAGTCCAGGAGGGCTCCACTGTCCCGGTCCATACGGATCATATGGCCCGGCTCTTCCTCAGCATCCCAAGCCATCCCGATCATCATTTCTTCCTCCTCTTCCTCCTCCTCCTCGTCCAGCAGCAAGATTCCCCCATCGGCTCCCTCCTCATCCCCCGTTATCCGCACCTCTTGGATCTCATCCTCGTCCTCCCCGTCCTCCTCCTCCCCGGCGCTGCAATAGTGCAAGGGCCGATGGGGGCCACCTCGGCCGGACTGCCGGTCCCCCGCATTGTTCTCTCCGCCGCCACCTGCCCCGCCGCCGCCTGCGCCGCTGCCACCGCCCCCGGTGCTCCAGTCTCCGCCGGCGCCGCCGGTGCCAGGCATTCTCGCCATATTGCCGTCTCCCGCCGCCACCTGCCCCGCCGCCGCCTGCGCCGCTGCCACCGCCCCCGGTGCTCCAGTCTCCGCCGGCGCCGCCGCTGCCAGGCATTCTCGCCATATTGCCGTCTCCCTGCCAGTCCTCGGGCAGGGCGCATGCGCTATATTGGACCGCAGCGCTGGAGAGCTTTTGTGTTTAATGACCTTCAGCTACCGGGAGGCAAAGCTGGGCTCTTAAAGGGGCCGCGCGCTCCCAGTGGCTGTGGCTGATGTGCGAGGAATGGGGTGGGGAGGCCGGCGCGAGAGAAGGAGTAGGATCGAGAACGGGAAGAAAATCAAAAGTGGGATGAAAAGATTTTTGTAGAAAAGAGAGAGCCCTCGAACAGGCACAGAAGCCCTGGAAGCCTTCTTTTTTCCCTAGTCGAACGCCACAACACAACAAAGCTAATGCAATGCGATACAAAGGGTTACTTTGTATTGGTCCATGCATGCTCCCGGTGAGAAGGGGAGGCCGAGACGGACAGATCCACTTACCCAGCCTCGGTCAGCGCGGTGCCAGGCTATCTGCCGTGCGCGCTAAGTGATGCCCGAAGAGCAGCCCGCTCGCCCCCATACTCTCATTGCTAACGGGAGGAAGGGACGGAGGGGGAAATCTGCTCCCCTCACCGGCGGTGGCGACTGAAGGAGAGTGAGGGCGGGGATTAGAACTAGGGGAGCAGCAGTTCTAGTCACCGCGGCAGGTGAGATCTACCGCGAAAAGCGGGGCGGATGGCGGGCGGGGGGGGGAACAGAGCAGAGCAGACGGCTCCTCGCAGAGGCAGCTCCTCCCTTCTGAATCCTGGCAGCCGGGCGCGGGAACGCAGCGGCAGCATCGCAGCCCCCTCTCCCTCCCTCCTCAGCAGTTGGCGGCAGCGGCTCGTAGTTGATACCGGCACAAGGAAAACTTCTCGGGTCCTCAGCACTTCGGAGCGACTCTCTCCTCCTCCCTCCTCTCCTCGTCCCCGGCCATCCCACCTAACCCCCCCTCCTCACCCATTTGGAAAAAAAAACGGGAGGGGGGAAGGGAAGAGCGCGCGAAAAAGAGGACACGCCGGCTGCCTACCAGTCGCGTCGATCGCGCTCCTCGTGGGCTTTACGGAGAAGGCATTGAGCCGTCCTCACCGAACGAGGCACGTTAGGCTGCGGGTGGAAGCGGAGCGGGCGAGTCTCGCAGGAAAAGCAAGTGACTAGTCCGAGGAAGGAGGCCGAGGGAAAGAGGCAGAGCGGGTCCCAAGAGGGCTCCTTTCTCGCCCTCCCCTCCCGCTGCCCAAGCGGCTGCCGTTACTGCAGATCGGGGGCCCGCTCGGAGCTTGCGAGGGTGCCGGGCAGGCTGCGTACAAAAGAAGGAAGCCCGCTCCTTTTTCCTGCCTGGCGCTAATAAGCTGAAGGAAGCCAGCAGCGAGGAGTGTAGGAAGCCGCCAGGGCTAGCAAAACCCACACAGTCCGCAGCCAAGAGGCAGATCTAGAGCTATTCCCAGCCTGCGGGGACAGGCAGCTGCAACACACGCGCGCACACACAGACACACACACACACAGAGAGAGAGCACAGCCTAGCCCTGCAGAGCACAGCTAGCAACATTTCTCTTTCTGTCTCCCTCTCTCTCAAACACACACGTCCACATCTGCCCCCCCTCCATCTCCTCCTCCCAGTTTCCTCCTGGCTTTCCACAATCTTCAGAAAACGTTTCTAGGTTTTCAAACAGGCGTCTGTCTCCCTCCGGGAACACAGGACTCCGCACGCCTTCGCGCTGCCGAGGACCGCCCTCAAGCCAATACCCGCAAGCAGCCCTCTTCCCGCCGCCTCCCCCCCCTCGCCGCCGCACTCCGCAATCTTCCCAGTTCATTTCCGTATGTATTTCCAGATGCTACAGTTCCTTCCTTTACTTTAAGACGTGATCGGGTCGCTCCGGCCTTATTTCCTTCAACTCATCTTTTTTAAAACACTTAAGGTAGATGGAGCGGCGCGGGAGGGGGGCGACTAGTTACACCAAGAGCAGCTGTTCACAAAGAAACCAGCCCCGTGTTTCTGGCCGTCGTTGTGACAATTCATTACCACGACTATGAGAAGTACGTCTAAATTCCACCCCCTTTAGAAACACAGAGGCGTGCAGAGGTTTCCCACCCACTTTTCCTCAAGGAATAGCACAAACATAGTACGTAGTCCGCTCACAAACTTGGCGATGCCTGACTGACGCCAGTCTGTCTCTGCTCCTCCGAAGTGAACGAATCCCCCCCCCCAAAAATTGCTCACTCGTCTTTTCATACTGTATTTTAACCCGGAATAAAAATTCTGGGGAAATCTTGCTAAACTAGAGACAAGTCACAACGAGCAATCGCAACAGTACAGATGTGATTCACCGATAAGGACGGAGATGACACTTCGTGGCTGCCCTGATCCCTAAAAAAAAAAAGAGCTGGAAGATGACTTGACGGCACCAAAGTGCACTGAGTTTTTTTATGTAAAAGAGAAAGGGAGTGAAAACGGTTTTGGGAAAAGCCACAGGGCCGCTGCTCGAAGTAGTCCACAAAATAAAATTACATACTTCAAATATTTACAAATCTTAGCAACATGGCCTACCTGAAAAGAGCAATCATCATCATCATCATCATCAGCTGGGTCTTAATGGTCCATGGTGAAGAAACTGGGGAAGTTAGCATCAAAAGAGGAGTGTTTCAGGGGGATTCTTTGTCACTACTGCTGTTAACATCTCACTAATTCCCATGCCACTAATTTTAAATAAAACTGGATTGGGCTACTATATTTCAGAACAAGCAGGAAAAAATCAACCATCTCTTATACATGGATGACCTAAAACTATATGCAAAAGGTTCCATGGAGATAGAATCACTGCTAAACACAGTGCAAATATTTTGTGAAGATATCTAAATGAAATGTGGAACTGACAAATGTGCAACTCTGTCTTTACACCATGGCAAGATCCAAAAACTAGATGGAATAAAGTTAAAAATTGCAATATTATAAAATCACTATCTGATGAAGAAATTATAAATACCTTGCAATACTAGAAGCAAAAATGAAGAAATTATAAATACCGTGCAATACTAGAAGCAAATAACATTGCACACACAAAAGTTAAAAGAATTGACAGAAAGAGAGTATATCAAAAAGCTGTGGAAAAACTTAAAATCAAAATTAAAAGGTGGAAATACAATCAAAGTCATAAACACATGGGCCATTCCAGTAATTAGATACCCAGCTGGAATAGCAGATTGGACTCAAAACAAATTAGAAGAATTGGATCGGAAAACATGGAAACTAATGGGCATGCGTCATGCACTACATCCCAAAAAAGATGTGGATAGATTATATTTACCATGAAAAATTGGAGGTCATAGATTACTGCAAATACAGCAGGTAGTAGAGGAGGAAAAAGAAACCTAAATGATTATATCAGTACAAGCAGAGAAAAATTACTTATGGCAGTGAAAATGGAGAATATTTTGAAAACAACAGAAACCAAGGCTCAATATAAGAAACAACAATTTGAAAGTAAATTAAACAGTTGGAAAACTAAAACACTACATGGACAACACCTGAGAAATATCGATGGAAAGCATGATCATAATTCAACATGGGCATGGCTAAAACTGGGGACCCTCAAGAAAGAAACCAAAGGCTTGATTTTTTTTTCCTTCTACACAAGAACAAGCACTCCAAATCAAAGTTATAAAAGCTAAGATCCAAGGAATTGGTGCTAACAACAAATGTCAACTCGGCCAAGAAAAGGATGAAATTGTGTCACACCTCATCTGTGAATGTCCAAAGATTATACAAACATATTATAAAGGTAGACATGATAGAGTGGCAAAATTAGTACACTGGTCATTATGCAAAACAGATAACTTGCCAGCCTCCCAAAACCTGTGGGCCAAACCTGTGGGAACATCAGGTAGAGAAGGTATCAGAAAAAGGAAAGTCAAGATCCTGTGGGATTTCTGGATCCAAACAGATAGACACCTTGAACATAATATGCCAGACATAGTAGTAATAGAACAAAGAAATGTCTGAATCATTGACATTGCAGTTCCAGGGGATGCAAGAGTTGAAATTTTAAAGAATTGGAAAAACTAACAGACTCCAGAGACCTGGCAATCGAAACAACTCGCTTCTGGAAGGAACACATTTCAGTAGTCATTGAGGCTTTGGGAACAATATCAAGAAATTTCATACAGTTGCAGATTTCAGAAATCACATAGTCAGAGCTACAAAAAGTGGCAATATTAGGAACAGTGTACATACTGCACCGATGTTTAACAGATACTTAGGTTTTTGGGCAAAAATTTTATCTGTCAATGTTTTTATAATTTTGATGTGCATGGTGTTTAATCATCATCATCATCATCATCATCATCATCATCATCATCATCATCATCATCATCATCATCATCATCATCATCATCTGTCAAATTGATTCCAGCACATGTTGACCCTTTGCAGTGCTTTCTAGACTGAGCATTCTGGGGATGCTCTGGGACTGCAGCTTGCCCAATTCTACATAAATTGGCTCTTTTCCAGGGAAGCGCAAAGGAGAATTGAACTCCCAACCTGCAGCCAGATACTTAACTCACTCAGCTATCTACTTCCTGTCAAAACAAGCAGAAAACAAAAACAGCTATCTCAAGAATCAGTGTCTGAATGTTACATTAATTGGAAAATTAGGAGGAAAGGAGTGTTTCTCCCTATGATCGTCCACCAGTGCCCCTCAGTCCAGTTAGGTTTCACGTTTGGGTGTGCCTACCCCTAAAGAGGCCCATAAAAGTACTACCAGAAACTGGGCCATCTCAGTAGTGGCTGCAACGCTATGGAATGCAATTATTGTGAATATACACCAGGCTCTTTCCCTTCTGGCTTACGCAAAATGGGTTTCTTACCTCATAGAGGTAAGAAACATCTTACCTCTATGACAACCTTGCGGCTCCATGAAATGGTTACTGTTTTGATCGGCTGTCCAGATTTCTTTTTCTTTGGATATTTGGAGTTTAATGCTTTTTTTGGATCTCAGGATTTATGCCATGTGAGTGGGGGTGGGTAGCTATGGTTTTGTTTATAAATGTTGTCAGCTGCCCAGAGTAGTGCCTTGGCACTAGATGAGTGAGGTGTAGATGTAATGAATAAAATAAAATAAATGTTTATTTAAAAGATTTCCACAGTAGCATTTGGAACCTTTCTTCTTGCATTAAGCTGTGTAACGAGATCCTATGTGTGTCTATTTAGAATCCCAGCAAGTTTCTAACTGGACTTCCTGCCTTATATGTCTGCATAAACTTAATTCCAGCTAATGTATTCACATTCAGGTGAAGACGTTTGCCTTTTTCTACCTTCAAAACACAAAATACCATATAGTAATTGGGGTAAAGCTGAAGTACCATATAATATTTGGGAGGGGGGAGATACTGTATTATAAGAGAATTTTGATCTTTACATTCATTTTTAGTTCAAAAATTGCCCAAATATTCATGTTTTATTATTTTCCTGTTGTTGTTATCATCGTTGTTGTTGTGTGCCATCAAGTTGCATCTGACTTAGGGTGACCCTAGGAATAAGCAATCTCCAAAATGCCCTGTCCTCAACTGCCTGGCTCAGCTCTTGTAAAGCAGCCTGTGGCTTCCTTTGAGTCAGTCCATCTTATATTTGGCCTTTCCTGGTATAATTGTCTTTTCCAGAGAATCCTGCCTTCTCATAATGTGCCCAAAGTATGACAGCCTCAGTTCCAACAATTTTGCTTCCAGAAAAAGACAAAAATCATGACTAGAGAAGAACTACACAACTTTATGTTGATAGTGAAGAAATTAAAATAGAGATTTTGTATATCTTGGTTCAGTCATCGATCCAAATGGAGACTATAGCCTTAAAATAGGAAGGGAAGCAATGAAGGAATTAGATAAGATCATGAAGTGTAAGGATGTTTTATTGGAGATCAAGATTGAGATCATCCACACTCTTGTATCACCATGTTTGAATGTAAAAGCCAAACAGTTAAGGAAGTTAACAACACTGAACTCAACCATCTGAATTAGGCTCTACAGGCAAATGGCTACTCCAAAAATGAAATCACAAGAGCCATCAAACCATGAAAACAACACCGAAATGAAGAAGAAAAACAGCCACCCACAAATAAAGTATTTCTGCCATACATCAAAGGGGTCACGGACCACATGGGGAAACTTTTGAAAAAACACAACCTACAAACAGTATTCAAGCCCACCACAGAAATACAACAAATGTTACGGTCAGCAAAGGACAGAAGGGACCCCCTCACCACTGCAGGAGCATACCGGATACCTTGCAGTTGTGGCCAGATATATATTGGAACCACAAAATGAAGCATCCACACCAGAATCAAAGAACATGAGAAACACTGCAAACTAAAACAACCAGAAAAATCTGCAGTAGCTGAACATGTCCTAAATCAAACTGGACATGAAATTCTATTTCAAAATACTGAAATACTGGACAACACCAGCAATCATTACATCAGACTGCACAGGGAAGCCATTGAGATCCACAAGCACCAGCAGAACTTCAACAAAAAAGAGGAAAGTGTGAAGCTCAACAAAACTTGGCTCCCAACTCTCAAAAATACAGTGTGCAAAAGGTCAACAAACTCCACCCAGCCACAAGGACAGGGGATCACTACACACAAAAGACCAGCTAATGACACCCATCAACCACAGTGACAGATAATCTCTTCTCCTTAGCGCAGCAATACACACACAACAAGACACACTAA